CCGGCCGATTTTTCAATCGCGCGTGTCACCACCTCGGTCTCACGTAGATAAAGAAACCGTGTCGTTTTACGAGCTCGTAAAACGCCTGCCACATCGATGAGAGGGTTGGTCGCAGTCGTTGTCGGGGTGCGAGCTGCAATAGCGGCTGTTCTCTCTCGCGGGAGAAAAACTCTCGCGCGTCTTTCTTGGCCGGTTCGATGGACTCGCGCTTAACATCGGCCAGTCTCAATCAGGCTGGGCCCCCGAGAGGTTTGTTTTGGATTTAAAACTAGGCCGACGGGTCGACGGCCTTTCCGACGAATTCTCTCTCTCTTTCTCCTTCTCGACTGCCTTTTCTCCCTCCTGCCTCTTGTAGCTCTTCGGTTACGCGAACCCATATCGGTTAACTTACGCTACGCGAGCGAGATCGGCTCGCGTTGCGTGACCCACACAATCGCACGTGAGAGAACGCACGCTTTTGTGGCACGCAGGGACGTCGGTAGTTTTCGAGGACAAAGGCGGTGTTTTGGTATTTCGGTACGTTTGATGTTTCTCTCAGAGTTGTGGCTTGTTTTCGCCACGGGCGATGAATGAACCTACTTCCTTTACGGGGAATTGATTTCGGAAAGAGAGACTACATTTATATATATGTATTTATTAATGGATATTACTTGCCCACGTTTGATGTCTTTTTTTTCTTCTCTCGTTTTTTTTCTCTGTGTTGTAAGATATGAATAATAAAAATGATCGTAAGCATTAATTATTTTATGCTAAAATGACATTTAGGATATTTTGAATAGATGAAAGAAATATGTGTCTGCCATTAAAAATTGAAATGATATACAATATATATGTAAAGAATGCATAACAAAATATAATAATTAAATATTAATACTTTTATTTGCAATCTGTTATTTATACAAAATGTGTAGACTAAATTTATATATATAGGTATATATTATTAATGGATATTACTTGCCTACGTTTAATGTCTTTTTCTCTCCTCTCGTTTTTCTCTGTTGTAAGAGATATGAATAATAAAAATGATCATAAGCATTATTTTATGCTAAAATAATATTTAGGATATTTTAAATAGATGAAAGAAATATGTCTGCCATTAAAAAAAATGGAAATAATATATGTAAAAATGCATAACAAAAATATAATAATTAAATATTAATACTTTAATTTGCAATCTGTTATTTGTAAAAAACGTATTGTTCTCGTAATCCGTTTTCTGAACACGCTTTTCATAACAGCGTAAATATAAGAGACGAGAAGCAAAATAGCTCGCTCGTTCCGACTTAACGGAGTATTATTCATTAAGAACCAAAGTTTCGGGGCACGAAAAAACTCTGATCCCTCGGCTCCACCCGTCTTTTGTTGGCGTAACGCGTATTGCCGATTGAACGAAACAATTTGAGTCGCTTCGACAACCCCGTGTGTGCCACGTCTTTGTTGTATCAACAGAACTCTGTTTCCCCTGAGCCCCTAACATGGAGCAGCCCTGGCATGCGTTTGCGCTATCGCAATATACATATATGTACACACACACACACACACACCAATACGCATTGGCACGCCATCGCTTGAAGCTGACATTTATAAACACTGTGTTGTAGCCGAGGTACACAGAGGCTTTCATTCAACCGGAGCTTGATTACACGAGTTGTGCGAGTTATCGGGGAGAAAGGGGATTGCGAAATATCTCTCTCTCTCGGACGCGCACGGGTTTCTTTCTCAGGAGAAAGAAGTGCGAGCGCGACAGCTGGACGGAAATTTTGAGAGCTCTAAGAAAAAAGAAACATATACTAATTATACAAACGGACCATATGAATAGAATCGCTTCTTTAACGAGGAGAGTGAATAAATTCAGAATCATCTACACAAGGCTTTATATTGTATACATAAGATATGTAGTCGCACGTTCTTCCTTCGAAAATGTAGGCAAAGTAATAAAAAAGGTAATTTTCTCTCCGAGTGGTGACTCTTAATTCAAATAAGGTGGTCTTAAAGTTGGCTAGGCGTTGAATATATTCTCGGAATAGATTTTTTTTCTCGAATTACAAGTATGGGCAGTCGATCGTCAAAAGGCGCGAGCGAAAGTATCCGGTTTTGTAAAACAGATAGAGATCTCGACCGACATTCTTGCCGAAGGAGCAAATACCGGCGGAAATCTATTCTCTGTTGAATTTAGAGGCGCATGCGAGTATAATTTTACCGATTACGTGAGCCTGCTTGCGTACCGATAGGTCGCTGTTTACAGCCTTTTTCATGTCGACGTAATCGAGCTCTCTTTCCGCGCAAGACAAATTATGACTCGAAGAAAATCAGGCTAAGAAATTGCGTAGGCGTAAGCTTTTATATCATTCTTCGTCTTCGGCTGTGCAAAAAGTGTATCGATATCGACGTTAAAATACCGCTAGATATCGATCTAACTGTAAATTATCCTCGAAACTATAATTACGTATACGAGACCGAGATTAATTAACATATAGGCGCGTTCTCTCTCTCACGGAGAGAAAGACATTGACAATAAACTACATCACGTTGCGCCGATCTTATTGCTGTATGTGCAACTTTTCTCGTTTCAAACTGTGCGCAACACTGCGCCAATATTTATGTAACCACCTTTTATATCTCTGAACTATTTTTATCTTGTTGACATTTATAATGCGCAGCTAAATTCATTGCACGCAAATTCTTCGCGGAAGTTGTGGTCAAAGTAGTGTTGACTCAACAACATAGTGCCAATGCAATGCGCGTGTCCCGCATTTATTTTGATGACGTAGAAAAGTTTCTTCCTTCTGCGAATTAAAAACTTTTTTTTAAATATCTCTCGCAAAATAATCTGCAGTCTGGCGAATATTTTCCGCGCAGCAAGTCGAAGAGTGATAATCTGATGATTAACGAAAATTAGCGGTTCTCTGTCTTTCGTCGAAGAGAAAATATTTCCGCAACGAGAAAGGGAAAAAAGCGGTTTTTCTACGATTCTTCAAATATTTTCCCTCGTCACAGCAAAAGTCTTTTGCACTTAATTATATCGTACGACGATAAAAGCGCGCTAATCGCATTAGCGAGTACGAAGTGCAGCGAACGCCGCGCTTGAAATTCTGCCTTGAATAAATGTCTCCCTTGGTGGATGAAGGCACACATCTCCACGCGCGCGAAACCGATGTTAACGCAGCTCGAGAGCATCGGGGGCCCGTCTTATGTAGGTCCCATCGTCGCGGTCCCTCTTTTTCTCAGTAGTGACGTCATTGAGGTCGGAATGCAAATAACGGTCGGACCACCTACCAGGTTCCCCTCTTAAATCGTTCTGCATCTCAATGTGTCAAAGGTTGCACACGGTGCGCGTGTACGACGTTTTGCAAACGTGGCTGCAGGAGAAAAAATATTTATCTCTTCGTGTTTCCGTCTTTGTCCTTCGTGCGAAACGTGCCGGATTGATCCATTTCTGTGTAATTGATTCAACGGCATCGTTATGATGGATGATGGCACTTGGTGTAACCGGCAGATGATAGGATCCAGTCGAAGCACCATGAAAACCAGTCATTGGCGTTGAATTGAAGCCAAGGTCTAGCCTCATTACTCAAACTGGATCCGCGAGACGTGCAGCGGGTTGACCATTCGTGTCACTCACGTGTAAAAAAAAATTCAGGCCGTTTGATCTGCACTTACCGTTAGGTAATGTTAAGTCGCTTATCGATGATCTTGTAATAAAGTATATTTGTATTTTTTTCTTTTTTTATTTTTATAACGCGAATCGGTTTCTTCAGGAATCGTATATTCGTCATAAAACAGCTCCAACGAATGGTAGCTAATTTAATGAAAAATCTTTTGTGACATCATATGAAATGTTTTAGTAACCTTTTTGAGCTAATAAATGCTATAATTTTCCTTATTCTTTTTGCGACATCTGCGTGTCTTGAGATATTTCTGCTGCAAAATCGAATACGGACTCGGAAAAAAAAGTTAGGTCTTGCGTGGTTACTTAAATGTACGATTTACCGATAAATGTTACTGAATTGTATCGAAATGATTGTGCCGTGCGTACTTTCATCTAAGAGGTAGGAATAAATCCATTCACAAGTTCCAAATTCGGTGCGTCGCAGTAATCTTGTGCAATCACCGACGTCGCCGTTGCCGCGAGTTTCCTTCTATGGATCGCTTTTACATAACCACAATACGTAAACAGTATCGTGTGTTACGGGAATTTAACGTGGTGAGAGAGAAGGAAAAACAGAAAATATATGCTTCAGTTATGTATACATATATACATATTCACCAATCGCTTTTTTCAGCCTATTATGATCTGAAATATGCCGCACCGGTTGATCCGAATAAATCAGAGATAATAACACATCAGCGGAGATATAGAAATTATCATTTTATGCGAGAAAAAAATTAATTGTCTTTAACCATTTCGACCAGGCACATTACTACTAATTAATTTCAAGGACTCCTCCTTGCTTAAAAGAGTGTGCTCATCTTATTTCACAAAATAAGAGAGTCTTTATTGTTTCTAAAATGTCGTCCAGTCGAAGATTATAACGATTTATGCGATTCGTTATAGAGATTTTATGCGAAACTTTCTTATGTGTTCAGTAATAAATGACGGAATCTTTTATAAGAATTATTATATTTAATAGCTTAAAATCAACATATTACTATTTTAATATTTTTAACATATGTATTATTATTTCAAAATTTAATTAACGTTTTAATCAGCTGATTTCTGTCAAAAGCGTTAATTTGCTAATTTAAAAAATTTTAATATCTTCAAAAAATTAAAAAAGTGTATATGTTGTAAATAATATGTTATTATACCTTATATTCGATTAATTTTTTTGACAGAAATCAGCTGATAACTGTCAAAAATATTAATCGAATTTAAAATTTTTTAAAAATATTTTCTAAAAATAACGATATAATAGTTAATAATAATGATCAGATTAGTTAATAGTAATAATAATTAGATTAGTTTATAATAATAATTATTAAATTTGATTTGATTTCAGAGTGCCGAGCGAATAATTTTCGTGTTATTTTCCGTCGAATTAATAATAAAATATGCGTTACATGCAAATAATCTACGTCGGGAGTGCCGTACAAAGTGCCGTGCGATTTGTTGATTTTTATACGTGATTATAATTAAATGTTTTCGCGAGTAAGTGCTACAAAGAAGGATGACCAACAATAAAAGAGGAGGAGGAAGCCCGAGGAGGCATCGGACAATAGCGGAGCAACCGTGAGGTAAGTAAATTTAATTATTTCATATTTCGCAATTTTATAAAATTAATTACTTATTTATTTTAATGATCTCTTTTTTGTTATTGTGTAATATAATATGTATTTTATGTTTTTATTTTAAAATATTAAATAAATTATTTACAATAATTAATATCTTTTAAATATAAATAGATACATATTATATATTTTTTTTAGAATTGCATTGTGTTCAAAATTTTCGAATTATTTTATTATTTACGTACAATTTTTTTTACTTATATTATTTATATTATAATAATTAATTTTTAAGAAAAATTTGTTCATAAAAAGATTTTTTGTGTAACATTTTCTTTGTAGTATTTATTTTGGTAAATAAAGATTGAATAAAAATAGTTAAGAAATTGAATAAAAAGTTTAATTAATCTTTATAACATAATTATTATTTTTTTAAATTAAGTACATTAGACATGATTTGATTTATAATTTGTTAATATTTGTATTTTGCAGATCAGTATGCAGATCAATTACAACTCCGCTGCTGTGCATCGTACCGGTGAGTCACTTTAAAAAAATAAGTAGTTTTGGCAACAAATAATTTATTCAATTTTTTCGATAATTTTATGTGATAATTAAATAAATAATTAAATAGTCTGTCGTTTTTTTTCGAAATATGCGGTTTTTTAAATTGTTGACTAATCGTGTGAGAATAAAATGTAAAAACGTACATTGACGTTCTCGTATGTTTAAAAGAATGATTATGGTTGAGAACTAAAAAAGCGATCCGTTTCCGTGAGAAACATGTCTCCTTTGTGCCATCTGTTCTCGCAGAAGTCGAGCACAATCCTGTGTAAGGCCTGCGTCTGTCTGTCGTCCAGTTCTTGTCACAGATGCCTTGCGTCTGACATATTTATGATAGAGAATGCGACACTACGTGAGAAGATGCAGGCAACAGCTCTTATTATCCGAGCACTCGACTCTAGCTTACAATTATACATAACTGTAAACAGATTATTACCAATAATGAACTTCCTCTCTGTCTCAAGTGTTAACGAAATTTCCGTGCTATGGCAACGGTATGCAAATAATGCCGTTAAAAAATATATCTTCAAGTTTTTATTAAATTCATTTGGAACGAAAAATTTGATTTTAAAGGTGATAAATAATTTATTCTTTTTATTTCTTGTCCCCTAATTTTTTAATTGAATTTATTCTTTAAGTCATATAATTATCGCGTTATTTTATAATAAATATGTAAAATAATTTTGTAATTGAAAAAGACATTATTGAATATTTAAACAGAACATGTGTAGGCTTTTAGAGCCATATAATTATCGCGTTATTTTATAATAAACATGTAAAATAATTTTGTAATTGAAAAAGACATTATTGAATATTTAAACAGAACATGTGTAGGCTTTTAGATTGTTCTAAAGTGGAACACACATAAATAAATTGCTCCGAAATCTGTAGCGCTCACGATGGACGTTCTTTGTTCTCGGGTCCTCCGACTTATCGATCGTTCGGAAGGGAATCGCGTCGTCGCATATAGACGAAATTTGAAGATTGCTGCGAGCGACGTCTAAATGGTTTTCTTCTTCACGGTAAAGGGGACTGCGACAGTCGATACCTAGCGCAAACACTATAATTTCTTCCGACCGTGTTCTTATCTTTTGACATTTGTGCGCTGGGACGCGGGTGTCACACGCTCGCCGGGGCAGGAACGTGTTCGAGATTCTGTCACTCGCGATTAGGACACTCACTATTAAAGCTTTCCGATCGAGGGCTCGAAGAAGAACGGCCGGATTTATCCATATCACTTATATACCATCAATGTGTTCCGTATTTTTTTTTAGAAGGATTTATCAATATTGTTTTTGTAATTCTTTCCTTTTGCAATTTTAGTCTCTTTTACTTTCTCCCAAATATTTTTACTTCTCCGTAGCTTGACTTTTCATTTTAACTCGACTCGTATAAGATACAGAAATCTGTTATATAAATACTTGCAAGTTTTTATCTAAAAATGAAAAGAACATGGTTTTCCCAGACATGTTTTTTCATTCATTTTTTTTGTGTTACGTCAAATTCCATTAATAAATCATGACTTTATGCACATATACTTCTATATTCTGCAAAGAATACGCGCGCATATGAGAGGGTTTTAATCGTGTTTTCTAAAGAAAGAATTGAATTTTTTTACTATTGAAACGAGTTGCTAACGTACACTATTTTTAATTGCGATAATAAAATAATTTATAATTTAATACGTTATGAGAGAATTCGTTTTGCCTGAATTTCGAGCTACGTTACTGGTTTGCAATAATCCATTTCAACTCGAACGTACTGATATTCTCCCTCTATTCTGACCCTTCCATGCAATGCAATTCCCCTTCCTGCACGTTGCAGTTGATCTCTCTCGTCTTGTGCTCCAGACAGCCGCCTTTTTTCATCTTTCTTTCTTCCTTTTCGTCCTCTCGCCAACTCCTGGCATACGTACCGTTGCAACCGGCTGCATCGTCGAGACGCAATTCAAGTCTGACCTTCATCATGTATACTCCCTGCCATAAGCTCCACCGCTCCCACCCACGAGCAAAATGATTATTATGATTCGATGTGCAAACACGCCCTTCGAGCTCCACGAAAGGATATTAAAGAGTTTCGTTCTGTGAAAATTTCAATCTTTTTATAATGAGCATTTCATCACACCTCAGGATAAAATGAGAAATAAAATTTGATACATCCTATTTGTGTTTTTTAACGCATTAAATATTAATTTAATCAAATGAAAAGCATTATCATAACAAATGATTTTTACTGCATTGAGAAAAAAATGTATTGAATTTGAATAAATATTTATTTCAATACTGTCTAATACATCATTTATTTGAAATTAATAATATTGTTGAATTTGATGTGAAAAATATTTTTGATATAAGAAAATTCTTTTCAAAACGAATAAATATTTATTTGTTTCAAATAAATGATTTATTAGGCAGTATTGAAATAAATATTTATTTAAGAATAATTTTTTTTCAATATGTTAAGTCATGATAAAAAAAAACAAAAATAAGTTGTAACGTAAAATTTTTATTAAAAAGAATGTATTGTTAAATAAATGTTCGATATGATTGCAATTATCATGAATCACTGTCACACCATAGAAATGTCAGTACTCGCTCTTCAATTATTCTCTTCGATATGCACGCAATAAGAGATGCACGATCTCGACGACGTGTCTGAAGACGAGTGATCGAGAATAACGGGTTTATTCATACGAGTTTAGTATACTATAGGGACAAGAGCGCAATCGCTTATTTGCGCACGACTAATCACTAAGATATCGAAAGCATGGTCATCAATTAGTCGGTCTAATAACAAATACATATACGCGCAAACATAATCGTGAATTCGATTTGTAATGCGTAAATCATTAGTGATCGAGATAAGCGAGAGAGTCCTGATTGATAGTGTTGCATCGAACGCTACAAAAGTATCGCGTTGCGTCGTTGATGCGACCCGATCGACCGTGAAGACGCGTTTTCTATCAGCTTCGTAGATATATAAACGTGGGCGTTAAATAGACATCTCTCGAACGATGTAGCGAGAAAAGCAAAAAAAAAATAAATGTCGATCATACGATTTATAAACGACGATAGCGAAATGACGCTGGGTGTAACGGTATTATTCATAGAACACTCACATATCATGAAATGAATCTAGCACATATCTATGCGCGTTATACTTACTCGTTATAGGTATTTTTCAATGGATTAGGCGTGTTATACGAAAGAATAGACGAAGATTAGATAAAGCATCGCTCTCGCGACAAAGTTCATTAATGATTTATTGCTCGTCGTCAAACGAGCAATTTATATACAGAGAAATCGCAACATCGATAATAAGCAATAATTTTTATGCAAACCTGTAACGTGGCACATAAATTACGTATAATTTTACGTAAAATTTCACCACTTACAAACTTGACTGTTATTCTTACGCAGGACTGCTTTTAAAATATATAAATCAAAGTAACTATCTATGTTAATTATTCAGCTATTTCTTGCGTTGATATATATTTTTAAACAACACACGGTTGTGTGCATGACGGAATACTAATAATAAAGCAACGCTTATGTAATATCTCTCGATTGCGTCGGTTCACTCGTAACTCTTATCTTCCCGAAATGCGACTCGCGGAATGTAACAAACATCGCGGTCGCGCCCATTACACCAGAGATGCAGATACGCCGCGTAGATCTTGTGAAACATCTCTACGGGCTCTGCGTTAGCAGTGGCGCGTGACGAGAGGGCAGAGGTCACGAAGACAAAGATTGTGCGAATGGAAATGTGACTTGTGTTGCATCTCTGCCGATCTGATAAGAGCATACCTATCACGGGTAAAGTCATCTTCGTGACCGCAACACAGAAAGTGCACCGAATACGAGATTCAGTGAAAAAAAGTAAGATAAAAAAAATGCCACGTTTCGTTGCATTATTTTTATTTATTTTTTATTTATTATTTATTTTTTTTTTTCAAAGTTCTAGTCGAGTTTTATGTTTACTGCATTAGTCGGATAAGAAAATTATGTACGATCGGAAATTATAATATCTTCGTACATTAACTATAGATGAATAACAAAATTTGAGAGATTAGTTTCGACAGGAAGTTCGCGATATCAGAAAATTGCGTACATGTTTTTGTTTTTGCAAGATGGTAAAAAAGAAATATGAAATTTTTTCTCATTTACAGATCATATGAAAATCGAGAGGAATAACGATGTTTGTGACTTTTGATTAACATACTTCCGATACATATAGCCTGTCCATGCTAATTACTCTGATGTAAATGTTTACGCGATACTATGTGGTTATATCGTTGAAAACTATAACGATGTGTGTACACACTTGTGCACGTAGGCAAACCGGATAAATGTAAATCAAACGCGTCGATATACAATGAAAGCCACTTTCGACGATTCTTTTTGCGGGGAGAGAAACAAGCGTCAAACTGCCTATCGTCGAATCACGTTTGTCTGTTAAATCGACGAACGAAATATTCAAATCAACCGCGTTGTTGAACGAGTTATTTTGCACGGTGGAATTTACGGAATTTGCAGTGAATTCGCGTCAAGACAAAAGAACCGTATCACGTCGCGTATCAAGCAAATGAGAGATAAAAACTAACGCTGATAGTGTGCGATATTTCGAAAAAATAAAATTAGAGTTACGACTGACAAGATTTATATGCGAGTGTTTATTAGAGGAGGTTACTCATAATTTAAAATCTGTTATGAAGTTTATAAATTTTAAATTAATTTTTTTTAATTAAATTTCTTTAATAAGCTTATTATATTTGGTAATAAAAAAATTCTGTATATTATATAATATTGTAGACAGGTTTAAAAATATGGTGATTCATTGTATTCATTTACTGTGAATATGTTATTTGTGAAAAAGTCAGATATCGTGAAACTTATCTGAGAAATGTTTATATAGTTGGAATCTTGGGTTATCGATCATTTCCACTCAGAATGTCTAGAAATAATTCACTGCCTC